TTGAACTTCATTCCATTGGAGTCAGCCCAATATAGTCATGTTTTTATACATTTCATGTACAATGTGAATGATTTCTCGTTGCTATGAGAACTATCACTTTGAGTGCTTTCCCAACTTACTTTTAAATTCTGAACATTGTATTAATGTAAATTTTGTCTTTTAATTACCTTGGTTTTGGAAGAGAGAAAAACAAAACGCTTTCGTCATCCTCATGCAGATACCTGACTGAATCGGTTTAGTGAAGTAAATACAAATGCACCTGATACAGTATGAAAATTTCTGATGAAGGATTCATAAATACCTGTGGATATTTGAAATTTCAGCCATTTAAGTGTTAACACTGTAGCAGAAATCTTTTGTATAAATACTGTGGGCTTTCTGGTCTGTCATTCAGAATTTAATACGGCAGCCTACATTCTGTGCATTTAGTTTATTTTACTTTACTACTTTTGCTTTACTGAAAAAGAGTTGGGTTGTCCTGTATCAAATATCTTTGAGTGAACTTTCCCCAGGCAGAAGTTAGCCACCAACTTTAGCAGAAGCAGGATCATTTTCTAAAACTTTTACTTGAGTTCAGTGGAATTCCTTGGGTGTACATTCGTTGCAATTTGATGATGGTGTTTCTGGCTTGTACATAGATCTAAGTTTTTTCTGCATGTACTAAAAATACATATATTTTCAAATTGTCAACAGAACTGTGTTTGAAGAACTTAACTGATTTATCATCTTTTGATTTGATCAGGATGGATGAAACAAATAACTTCAAACCAACAGGTAACGCTTTTTAAAAATAAATTGATTTTCAGAAGTGATGTTGAGACAGTAGTGAACTGCAAAGGGTCACAACTATTCTTGTGACGCATTAATAGGAGTACACAAATGTAGTAGAGAGTTGAATCTGAAAGATTGTTTGACCAGAGTATATGAGCAAGTTATGGAAGTTCATTCCCTTAATGTTGATCCATGAATAGATCTTCTCTTGTAGCTGGAAATTTTGTTGCAGATTGGGAAAAAATTCTAAAACATTATTACGGAATAATTGGATGTGTCACAGTGCAGTGAAGGACCGGGTTTATCTATACCTGCTCTTCTCTGCAGTCTTCTGCTAGAGGTGGTTGGCTTCTCAGCAACCACAGTTCAGAGTCTGGTATATTGGTGTGAATTCATCTCCATTGGAGAAAACTAACTGACACATGTTTCATTCTGCTTCTCTATGATGGGGTTACTGATATCCATCAGACAGCTGGGGGCAATAACACACTGAGTCAGTGGTGGTAAATCTCATAGAGTCCTGAAATAAGAAAATTAATTTGATTTTGTGACTTAAAAAATACACTAAAAAATACTTGGCATGTATATTCTTCTTTTACAGAGACTGGAAGATTAATGGCGTGGTATTATATTGCATTTGATACAGTGAAACAATTTTTCACTATTAAGGGAACAGAGACTTTAAATGAATTGGTAATTTAACTTTTTAAAGAAAATTTACATGTGTTCAATTTATTTTAAGCTGAATCAAAGATAAGAAGCAGGAGTTCTTATTTATTTTAAAGAGCTCAGGCTTTGTTTATATAAAGTAGAAAGTTTTAGAGAATACATCTAAATAAATTCCATATGGAGTATTTTTGAGGCTTTGAGATCTTTTGATTTCCAGCTCTTTCACCCCTCACTAACCTTGCTTATGAAGATACAAAGTTTCTGAAGCTGCTCTGTTTATGTATTAAACACTGTATTGTTTTGTGGTTTGGTAGGGGTTTTTTATTGCAAAAAGCAGCTGCATAGAGAACAGATTTTACTTTTAAAGGAATGCTATTGTCTTTCTGTTTTAAGTAATTTTCCTCTGTCAGATGAAAGGTTGTTACTGCTACTGTTAAGTCACAAAAGACATTTTGTTCTCAAGCAAATACTATAGTAGAACAGATTGGCCATGGAAAAAACAGGATGTCCGTTCTCCTGTGGCTCTTTGTTACTAAAGTATGAAGAAAGTGAAGTGAAATACATAACAGAGAGCAAAAACTATTTCTGTTTGCCTTGTATGTCATCAAATGTTAGCAGTGTGATTGATTTTGGATAATTTCAAGTGGAACAGTAATCTAAAACCTGAAAGAAAAATCTTCCCCTTTTGTTAGATAATAGCCTTTACAGGAAGATGAAAGAAAGTTGGTCAGTATTAGAAAGAACTGATTGATCACGTTTTCATGGTCACAGTCTTGAGACAATAAAATTTTTAAAAGCTTTTTTTTTAAACAAAATTTGGAAGAAGTGGTAGAAAAAATGGCAAAGAAAAACAATTAATAAAAAAGTTAAATTGTTACAGGTTACAATGATCTCCAACTGCACAGAATTTCTGGATGTCAAGTTAAGAACAAATGAAAAGAAAATACTGAACTCTTTGAATAAAGACAAGAGCAAAATAACTATCAGGTATAAAAAAATAACTACATAGAAAAAGGAAAGTATCTTTTTAGCAATAAATAAAAGGACTGGCAGAAAATATGTGTGTTTTCGCACATAGGTTTCCAATGGAGGGGAAGATAAAAACAAGAGAAATGAAAATAAACTGGTAAATACTATATTGTGTTGTTACATTTTATCGAAAAGCTATCATTTTATGCCTGTTGAAGTCCCTGCTAAAATTTGTATCATTTTATAAAGGACCAGGTCTTGCATTTCACTGTTTCTATTTTGAATTTTCTTTTGTTTTCCAGTAGAAACTCTTATGTTGTTATGCTTCGCTTACAGTATGGCTTATATACCAAAAAACCTTTTTTTTCCAGTCTTATTCAGGCTCAGCTAGGATGCATTCCTATTCAAGACTTTACTTTGACACAAGATACTGGCAGAATATTTAGAAATGGATTAAGAGTTACTAGATGTATGGTAAAATTTAATCATTTTTTGGTACATATAGTAAGCTACATTTTATTTTATTAATACAAGTCAATCGTATTTTTACAGGGTTATCTGACTTTCTGGCATCATGTAAGAACAACTTTTCTGCTTTATTAAACTCGTTGATTTTAGCAAAGTGTTTCAGGTGCAGACTTTGGGAAAATTCACTTCATGTGTCTAAACAATTGGAAAAAATTGGTAGGTACTAGTCATAAATTATAAGGGTGTACTCTAATAGAGAATCAGACCTCATAATTAGCCTGCTAATTTCTGAGGTGTCTGCTTCCATAATTAAATGAGTCTCCTAATTACTGAGTACCACAGTTGTCAGAATAACATGTCATGATAAAAGTAATCTGTTAAGTAATTTTCTTCAATCTTTCAAAGTATTTCCGAGTTCTTTATTCTTAATGTTCATCTCAGTATCTTGGGCATATTCCCCATTTGTGTGATTGCGTATCTCTGACTAGGCTATGCCTTCCTTGCCAAACAGCTGTTACTGTAGGTCCTGTTACTCATAGGCATGGAAGCCCTTTAATTTGCATTTACATTGACAGGAATCATGAAAAAGAAAACTTCACTGTGCATGAAGTTCTTATACATGAGGATCACGAGTTTCTAATAATCTTGTTCCTATCACTGTATCTTGTTACTGGATGAACTTCTGACTGGAAGTCATAATTATTTGAAAAAGAGTTCAGAAATTTTGGAGCCTTCTCTATTACAAAAATGTAGTTATACTTGTTTGAGGTAATAGTATAGCTTCCTGCTTTGATGTCTGATATTACCGTACCTTCACGCTTTCAGAATTCACTGCAGTGTTCTCTGTGTTTCTTCTTTAAAGACACATCTATTCCGTACAGAACAATATAGTATGAAGATCTGCAAATCAGAGAATAGCTAAGCCAGAAGATCCATGTGGTACATTACATTACAGCCTTGCAAGCTCAGGCACAGAAGCTGTCTTGGTTCAATCTTGTGGATTCAAAGCCAGGAATGGGGCTTGTTAGCTTGTGCACAGCACAGTAGAGTGTGGTGGGAACCCATTTCCACTACTTGACACTGGAACAGGTTGCCCAAAGAGGTTGTAGATGCCCCCTCCCTGGAAGTGTTTAAGACCAGGGTGGATGAGGCTTTGAGTAACCTGATCTAGTGTAAGGTGTCCCTGCTCATGGCAGGGGGGTTGGAACTAGATGATCTTTAAGGTCCCTTCCAACCCAAACCATTCTATGATTCTATGATACTTCTGGATCTGTGCCAATGTGCACGTGGCATCTGAGGAGTCTGCCTCATGTTCAGCATTTCTAGGGGGTTAAGATGAGTGGAATAAACATGGTACTTGCAGTGTAGACAAATCCTTTTCTGTACACTATATTCAATAGAATAAAGTCAGGTTTAGTTTTTTAATAACAAAAGTGCTATATATACACCTCTGTCCTGTTTTTATTTTTATTTTTTTAAAATTATTTCCTATGCTGTCACTGGTTTTGCAGCATATGTTACAAAGAATTGCTAACTTACAGGTTTCCATTTATTCCACTCATAGACAACTTTTGAACTGTCTGCTGGCACTCTCTTTTCCTGAATGAAATATTGAATTTGTGCCTATATGTGGTGGTTTTAGCCTGGCCAGCAGCCAAACACCAAACGGCCACTCACTCACCCTCTCCTGATGGTACAGGGAAGAGAATCAGAAGGGTAAAAGTGAGGAAACTTATGGGTTGAGATAAACCACAATTTAATAGTTGAAATAAAATAATTAAAATAATAATGGTAACAGTAATAATAGAATATACAAGTGAATGATGCACAGTGCAGTTGCTCACCACCCACCAACCAATGCCCAGCCTGTCCTAAGCTAGTGATGCTGGAGGAGAGACAATCCCAAAACCGAAACCGCAATCCCAGAAGAGAGAGAGCCCAAGCGCCCTAGGAAAATCTGAGAGCTTTCTGGTCAACCATCATCAATATACTGAAAATTATGTCATATGATATGGAATATCCTATATGTCTGATTCAAAACCTCTGTCATGCTGTAGCACCTAAGCCTATTCTGTGTTTTTGTGAAGTTAAATGAATTCTTTGAGCTCCTAGAAATTTACTGATACCATGTAATATACTCAGAAATCCCTAATTTTTAACTCTTATCTCAGTATATTATTTTTTGAATCTTAAAAAAACCTTAGCAATCATTATTTCCTTTATAAGAGTGACTGTTCTTTAACTGATATTTTGCCTTTCTGAGACTGAGGATTCAGCTGAATTCTTACTGCATTTCTACAACTGCCCCTTGACTTCTGACTGACAGGCTAATGATCAATCGCCATCCAGGATTTTATCACCTTTATTACTTGTTCAGTTTATTTCCATCTCCCATTTTTTTCTTGCTCAGAAATAGATAAAGACAAAGAGAAAAAGTCTTATTTATAAATATATTTTCTTCACTGGTGGAAACCGTTCTGCCATTTACAAATTATGACAAAAGAACTAGTCTTCAGCTTCACTTATAAAGAAACTGAAGTAGCTGCAGAAGTAGCAAGTGAGTCTTCAGTCTTCAGACTGTTTGCAGAGCTTCTGCAAAGGAGAAGGGAGATGGTAGAAGATGCTTTCCCTAAGTCAGATCCAAAACATGTTCAAATACACGTAAAAGAACAAAAGGTCTTCTGTTTCTCTAAATCATTAAATTATTGAGTTGAAAGGAGTCTTTTCTTATTTCTGTAACATCTTCCAAGAAGCAACCTAAGAGTCTCTTGAGACATTTCCCACTTAAGTCTCAGATTTCTTTTCCTGTTTCAACAGAATTTTGTATGAAGAATCCACATACTCTTTATAAGTATCTTTTATCTAAAATTATTGCAATTATTGTAGTAGGCTATAGTTCCAGGTAAGGGAAATGCCTTTTCATATGCTGTGATGACTTCTCAATCTCACTGGAAGTTTGAAAGAACTGGGAATCAGGAAGAAGAATAAGATTGTATGTGCTTTGTGGCAGATAAAGACATGGGAGCATTTTTTTGTTAAATCTGCAAAGCCTCCTAGAAGATTGTAACAAATATTTTTTGAGTGAATTTAATTATTAACTTGCTCAAAAACAATTGAGATCCTTATGCCTTTAACACAGTTAAATAATTCCTTGGATAGGGAAAAAAATTTATGAGATGAAGAATGCTGTGTGGTGTGCTTATTTTCATCATATGTATTCAGAAAATGTTTATTGACTCTAGCAGAAAGTAGTCTAAATTCTGTTTTGCTCTAGAATATGTAGCTAAAAATTGTCAGGATTGAAATATTGAATGTTTTAATGTTTGGTTTATATTGCATTTCTCTTTTCTAATGGATAAGTGAAATTAAATAATACTAAAACATATAACCAACTGAAAAGAAATATAGTGATTTCCTGGGAACAAAATCTTGGACAAGCATACTATAAAATGATTTCTGGTTTGGTTTTACCTGCTATAATGCAGTTGTTGAGAATAATTTGAGATTAGTGATTGTCATTTAACAGCATAAAACTTAAATTTTTCACAGGTGTATCACTGTCAAATGCCATGGTAAATGCTGGGCTGACATCATTTAAAAAAATAGAAGACACAAATGCAAGAGAACTTGAATTGGTAATTTATTATTCTGTATGCAGATAAATATAATAATGAAAATATTGAGTATTAATACCATTACCAGTAAAGGCGATATGGTTAATATATATCTGCTATATGATTGTCAGCAAAATTGAGTGTTTTAAGTGGTTTATTTATTTATACTAGTGAATTAAAAAAATGTGACTACTACTATTTTTAGTTGAAAATGTGTATGATGGTTTGTTCTAGCAAATTTAATGTGGTTTATTTCACTGATTTGCCTGGTTTTGGAAAGCAGTTGCTTAAATAAATACAATTTCATCATTTTTGAAACAAAGGAAAATTTGCATTTCCCTTTTAGGACTGTTATAAAAAATACAAAAGGGAATATGTATTTACAGTTTCTCTTAATATATATGAATGATGAGAATCCTAAATTGCCATTATTGCTAGTTTTAGTTAAAGATAGTCATAGAATAAAATTCTTCTGAATCATCTATACAGCACTTCTTATTTTAAGGAAGTTAGATTTTATCCAGGACAAGTTCTTTGTCTTTTGGCTTCTTTTCTGAGGGAACTGTTTTTCTAGTGTTCTGGCAGGTTTAACGGATTTCTAAAGGAAATAGATCTTACTTGGGTTTTTTTCTGGTTTGGCTTTAGGAATTAGATTTTTTCTTTTTTGCCCCTTTTTGCAGTTTTCCTGTCCTTGTGTTTTTTGTTTTGACTAATGCTAGGGCAACACAGAAGAGTCACCTCATATAAAACCTGAGTAGTCAGGTTTTGAGGTCACTGGCTAGTACATTGTCTGTTGCCTGAACAGAAGAGGTAGCAACGTGAAAAAGTATTGGGATTCTCTTTTGGCTATGTTGCTATTCTGGGCATCAATGACAGTAGAGAACCAGGAGTGATAAGGGCTTTTGTTTATAGCATAATTACTCTGGTGACTTTGATTCCTTGGATTTACATTTCTGTTGGCATCTCTGATCAGCTGAATGTATCAGAAATGAAATTAAATCTTTGCAGATTTTAAACAGACATCCTCCTTTTGGAAACCAGATAAAAGAGTCTGTCTTGCACCTTCCAAAATATGAACTTGATATTGAACAGGTAAATGATTTTCTATTTATTTTATGGTTTTATGCTTATATTATTAAATGAAAGAGCAAATACTGACTTAGAGAAATTTTGAGCCTTCACTGATAGAAGATTACACAATATTGTGGCCTCCTTCCACCTTAGCATATATAATGAAACTGTTAAACATCAAAGGAGAGCCTTGGAATAGACATTCCTTATAATACATTGGCTTCTCTCTCCCCCCGTCCCCCTCTGCTTTTATGTTACTGCATGTTATGTTACACATGCAAACTAGTATATTTTCCATTCTAGAATTACATGTGAATCTGAGATGTCTCTTCTATCCTGAACATCAACAAACCCTAGAAACAGAAAAACATCCACATAAAAGTTACTGAAGCATTAACTTATGTTTATTTTGTACATCACCTTAGGAATATATAGAAACACTAAATTACTACGTTAACCTAGCTGATCCCCTATCAAATGAAGGGTGCAATTCTATGTGCAATCAAAATCTTTAAGGTTCTGATGTGCATTTTGTCTTTAAAAAGGTTGCATAGCCACTCCACCTTTCTGAAGTGCAAAATGTGAAAACTAGCCTTTAAGTGTCTTGTGGAGTTGGTACAAATGAAGACACCTTTGAAGTTAGAAACTCAATAAATGTGTTAAATGCTATTGTTAGAATGATCAGGTCTATTTTAGTTTTTCGTTTGACATAATACCAGGTGAGTATGATCTATTATAAATATCTTATAGAGGAATGTTGGTATGGAAAAATATACCTAATTTTCTTCTCGCATCTTTCTCTTTACATTCAACAGAGGAGGATTTTTCACAGGCTTAATGTAGACCATCTTTTATTCTCAATACTTAATCAAATTTAGGATATTCAGCTATGGGCAAGTTAGTACTGTATAATAGTGTCTAAGAACAACAAATAAAAATTGTGCTACAAATTTAAATTGCTTGAATCTAGCTTTTGTGCTTGTATCACAGATAAAATTTTATGGAAGGGCATGTATTTTACTTTGCATATTTTATCAGTTATGTCGTATTCTCTATCATTTTTTCCTAGCTTCCAAAATACAGTGATACATTGGCTGAAATCTTGGTAACCGTCAAATTAACAAACTATGAGCAGCTACAGACTAAGAGAACAGCAACAGACTTTCACTATGTTACACTGGTCATAGGAGATGCTGACAACCAAGTAATTTTTAATCAGAAAATTATGTATGTATTATCAGGGGTTTTTTTGCCTCCCATCTTTTAAGGGTGTTGGGTTTTAATGCTTTCTGTGACTTGCAGTTTTTGCAATACTTTGTTCTGATGCTAAATGGTACAATGGTATTCTTTATCCTACAGCATTTTCTGGTCACTGTTGTCATTTAAAATGCTGCACAAGATTCAAAACCCCCCAAAACATGCCACTGTGCTTGTCAGTACAGAGGGTATGGGTAACTATCTGTGTGACACTGATGTCATATTATGGAAGTAATCATTTCCACATAAATATAAAGCAAGTAAAATATCTATTAAAAAGATACATTCTCAAATTGTTACTTTTATTAGCTCTATTTCTTTAATTGTATCATATTGTCAACATTGTTTTTCACTCAGAGATGGAATTAAATTCTCCAGTTGTCAAAGATGGGGAAGAGAAACAAAATCTTTGCCAACTGCATGACCTTCACATGAGTTCTGGCCGAAGTCTGGTACTTTTGGCAGAACTGAAACTGATCTGTGGGATCCTGGCTCTCTTACAGCCATAAGTCATATATTATTGGAAGGTTATTCTTAGGCCACTTATCAAGCAAAATCCAAGAACTAAGACCAAATAAAGGCTCTTTCACTTGGTTACAGTTGCCATAGTAAAAGTCTTGTTTTCATTGTCCACGTCTAACAGAACTTTACTGATACATTACAGGGATTCTGTGCTGCTGAAAACTGGAAATTGGATGAAGAAAATTGAAGTGAAAAGAGCTCTTGAATCAGAGGACATTAGTGTAAATTTAATTAGTTCTGATTATGGTAGGTTAATTGGTATGCTTTTAATTAAAAAAAAAAACTGCATAAGAATTTTTAAATAAACTATCAAGCCAAAAATATAATAAAATTAAATTCTCTGGAAACAAAATTCTATTACAAGTTTTTTACATTGAATATATGTAAGGTATGTAACGTACATAGATTATTGCCTAACAGTCCTCATTACGTATGTTTGTTTCATTTACTAGCATATTAATAAACTAGAAAACATAGAAACTATTACTAGGAGATAGTCTTTTGCTCTGCTGGTACAGATTAGGATTCTCTTTTGCCCTTTGCCTTCAAGTTAAATTAACTTTAATAGGGATAACCTGTCAGTTTGATATGTTATTTATGGTGGGAAGAGCTGTCTTTGTGAATGGTTAGATTTTGCATTGGGATAAAAAAGTATTAGATGCTGATTCATCTCCAGTTCAGTAGCAAGAAATTCCTACACTGGAAAATTTTGTGGCTTAAAGTGTGTAGATTTAAACATTCATCCCCTCAGTGTCAGTTTTCATAGAATTGAAACTACAGAAGCAGATGAGGAGAGATAGTGATGACCTTGAAACAGAACTTTGAAGTACAATTTGAAAACAGAATGGCTGTATTAAATTCTGTCATTATGCCCCACCTGTAAAGAAGATTGCTTTGTGCTAGATTAACTGAAGTATACTTGATGCTTCCATGATAAACATTGAATGTTGAGACTATTACAATAAACAAGCCTGGAATAATCTGTACTCCTATGACTAAAGCTGTGGCTCAGGAAAAAGGAGGGTTTTCTTACCAGAGATGAAGAAAAAATTTCTTTTTATTACTACTTGGCTATCTACAATTTGTACCAAGTTCTGTAAAACTCAACAAAACAGTTGATTTATCTGAAATTGGTAACAGTGAATTTAGACTAAAAGCAGGTCTTCCTAGTCTCTACTTATTTTAAAGTCTGCTTCTGTTTCAGACATGAAGGAAATATTCCCTTTTTTAAAATAACCTGTCTGATTTTCCAGCAGTATTTGCCTAACAAAAGACAAAATTACTCTTCTTACAAATGGTGTTTCTCATAGTTTCATATGAATCTTGGTTTAATTAGAACTAGAGCCATTATTAGCATTCAACTTCAAAAGTACTATCAATATACTTACTTTATGCCTTTGCCAATACTGAACTGCTGATACTCCTGTAACATAGATTGTAGTACAATTTTAAAGTTAAAATTATATCAGCAGTGCAAAGCCATAGATAAATATAGAAAAATTCTGTTAAAGGAACTAATTTTATTACTCAGTGAGTAACCAGATCTTTAATTCTGAAAATCTTTGGGATTTTTAGTATCAATCATAAAGATTCCATTAATGTGCTTTTAATTGTACATTATCTTAACAAATTTCCATGATCTTTTAATAAACATTTATACTTTCTTAAGCTGTTTAGAAAACTGAAGGTGATCAGTAGTTTAGAAATGGTTTATAGTAATTTTAAATATTTTTGTCCTTTTTTTTTAAAGTTGGCCTTGATATACAGCAAGCATATACAGCCTTTTACTTAACACCTAAAACAGTGGGAAGTAAAGTGGTTACAAATCAAAAACTGAAAGCTGAGTCTTCACTTGATATGTGTTATGGGTCACCACGAAGTCTGCCAGCAGCTAAAGTAGATACAGGTAAACAGTCAGATCCCACCATCTGGCTAATACCAAAGCCAACTCAAAATTGAATTTACTTTCAATAGAGAGTAGAGAGCTAGATCTTTATTTATCCATACCATTTCTTTCTCAAGTATAGTAAAATACAATGCTACTACTTCTGCTTGTCAAGGACTACAGTGCAATTCTTTGATGAATTTGAAAGAAAAATCATGAGTGTTTGGTCTCTAATGTTACTGCTTGAATTTGGGATTGTAGTAGTGCCTCTCTCTTTCAGTAGCATTGATTAATTTATTTTCAATTACATTGTTTGAGCAGCCCAACGTTTTGTTGAAGCCAGCAATATTCTAGTGACCCAAATTACTTTTAGCCTGTGTTTTACTGCCTTAGGTACTTTTGCAACAATACATATGAAATAAAAAAAAAATCACTTCTGTATTTTATTTATCTAGGAGGTAGATCTAAACAAGAGATTACCTACAAGAAATATGGAAACAGAGAATGCAACCATCGCTGTAAAAATAAAGATGCGTGTGGACATGACTGTTGTGAGTTTCATTAAATCTACTATTTCTGTTACTTTTAGATAAATATAATTTAGGATAGTTTAATGTATACCAATAGCTACATTAACAGAAGCAATGTTAGCAAGAGTCAGACCTGAGTTGTTGCTGTGATGCAGTAATAAAAAGCTCTGTCAGTAACCCTTTTTTAGGCACTACAATGATTAATAATATTTTTCAGAACATCTAGCATATGATTTAAAAGCAATGTCAAGCTTTTACATAAATACTGGTGTGTTAAGTCCTTTAATTAGTGTGTTAAATCTTTTAGGATCTTTTAATAGAAGTTACTAAGCTAAGTGGCAAAGTTTCCATTGATCTGGAAAGAATTAAGATTTATCCCTTCTCAACTAATCTGAATATTATTTTAATTCCTTTTCTCAGGTAAAACTGGAGTACTTCCAAAGTCTGAGATGAATGGAGATTCAAAATTTTCTTTGTACCTAGCTGATTTAAGGAGCAGAAACTCAATTTCATCTGTACCCCCAGTAAAACGGTTAAAGGTTCATTTGAATAGTCAGCCATTTAATAGATTTATTTTAATCTGTTATGTATGTGTATATATTTGTTTGCAGAGAGAATTTTATGACTAAATATGAACATTCAAGTTTGTCTTTTTTGTATGGTATGCAAAAAGCAAAGAAGTACAAAGGTATCAAAGGTACAAGATTCTTTGAGAGGTTCTGCTGCTGTTTGGAATGCTTCCAATGATCCACTTCTGTGCATATACTCCTTGTTTTTACTTTTATGGAATTTTCTAGATTGTGGTGGGTGAGGTACAGTGGCATTGTTGGAAGGTACTGTCCTGTGACTTTGTTTTGGCAAAATATGACCTGAATGAAAACAAAAAGTGGTATTTATCAGAGTAGTGCTACTAAGAGATATTTTTGCATTGACAGGTAGTTACACTTGTTTATAAGAAAACCAACCATTTTGGGTTTTAACCTCTGAAAGATTTACTGGCTTACACTTGATCCCTTTGAATGTACTAAACTAGTTCTTTCTGCAGCAAAAATGGTTTTGAGATACTAGAGCGTTTTATTTCCTCCTCACAGTTTTGTTTGCTTGTTTGGTCGCAGTAGAGAATGATTTAGCCTATAGCCAACACAGATGAGAGCTGGTGATAACCAGCCTGGCTTTGCCAGGGTACTTAGATAACCCCACTAGAAGCATGTAATTCAAACCTTTTTAACTGGTTACATTAGATAAGCAGACAGAAAGATTTTATATATGATCTTTGAAAATTATACTAACTTGATACAGTATTGATGATGTCATTAAGATTGTTAAAAATAATGCTTTTCAATATGTTTATATCTTATTGGTTACAATAATCTGCTTTCTTTAGATGCAGATGTTAAATCAGGCTCAAAATGTGGATCTCAAACAATTTGCTTTTACACCTAAATCTTTGTTGCTGGAATTGCCAAGGTACTGGCTAGTATAAGTAACAAAGAAATCTGTCTTACTTTAGATAGTATGTTAAGTTGTTAACAAATAAAAACTGTTTTCTGAATAAAGTTATTTTACAACTTCCTGTAACTGTTTTACTGACGTGTCACTGATTTCTTTTTTTTCTTTTTTTTTTTTCATAGTTCTAGCAATGGACAGTTGTCTTCATCACCTTCAGTGGACCAGGGAGATAATGGTAGTAGCTTAGGAGGATCTCAGAAACAACTCCAACCCTGGAATTATGGAAAGAGTAGTAAGTTATTGTTAATGTTTGAAATTATGATTTTTCACTATTTTGATTTGAATATACTTGTAAACTCAGACTTGCTGAAATCACTACAGCAACCAGTATAGCATTATAGAACACTGAATGTATAGGGAAATGTAGTGCCTTTAATTGACTTTCTTTCTGATATTGGTAAGAATTTCTAATGCAGATCTAAGCATCTATATGTAACTTTAAATAAAACAGTAATGACTAAATAAAACATATGAGAGTCCAAATTTATAAATACTTCCTGAAAGTATGACTGTAATGTATTTCTACTGAAGCCACTTGTAGTACAAGAGGTATTTTACCCCTGTATCTATACATTTTCTTCTTTTCCCTTTCTGCTGGAAGAAGTTAGTGAAATACGAGCTTTTGTTTGGTAGTTGACAAAGTGTGACCATCCTGTAACTGAGTTCATAACTAGTCAAACATCTCTACCTGGAAAAAATTTTCCTCTTTCTGTTTCTGTTCCACTGGAAAGGCCACAAATGTTTTCATATTTGGTATTAAATGATGAGTCTTCATTATCAGTATATAACTGATGCTCTCCTCAATGCATGCCTTTTGCTATTGTATTTGGTGACAGTAGATTGACGTAAATCCAGTTTTGGTTAATTTGGCTAATAATTAGCAGCAGGAAGACTGTTGCGTAGTCTTATCATCAGTTGCTGGGGGAGGTGGGTAGTCAGTCTATGATGTGATTGTGTTAAAAGAATAAAGTCATGGGAAGACAGATGGATAGGCCAGTATAGCTATAGTCGATGCTCAAGAACATCTTGAGGCAAATCGTGCAGCATCAAGGGGACATAGTAGATATTGCTGACTAAAAACCATCTCCATTAAATAGTAGCAGAAAAGGTAACCTTGGCCATATTTATTGGGCCGACTGCATTTAAAAAAATGCACTAAAAATAGTTCTGATGAAGTAAAGCATCGGTTCACACAATTTTTTATAGGGTTAACTGCATCTGTACAATGGTATCTTTCAATTCCATACCAAAAAAAGTAGGTAATTAAGAATATACTGTGAAATTGTAGTAACCTAAACCTATAATTTATTTAAATATTTTAAATATTTAAACTTTATCTGTGTGTCTGTGCAATAATGCACTGTGCTGACTAAGCACATCCAAAATTACAATAGCAGTGCCTTCCTAGTGTTGACTGTCTGTGGAACAGGATTTTTTTATTTGAGCCTGTCCTGCTCCCCCTCTCTTGAAAGGGACACCTGGATCAGGCTTTCTTAGGCATATTAGGGCCGTAACAACAGAATGAAGATTCCAGCACTGTCTGATTCTGGAAGGTAGTATGGCAGAAGAGATGAAAAAAATAGGCAGAGAGAATTGTATTGGTGATGAAAAGAGAGAATACAACAAACAAAAGGGAAAAAAAAAAGAGAGTAAGAGAGGAAACAGGAAAGTCTTCTTTGCACCAGAAAAAAGGTATTTAACAACAATGCTTGAAAATGTGTTTTTCATGGCTAGTTCTTAGACATTAGATGTATGGGAGGAAGACAGCATTCAGTGTTTTGGAAAACTGTGGAGAGAAGGACAGACTGAATTAAAAGTATTAAATTTTGAATCAAACAATGCTTCTGAAAAAGGGAAAGAATAAAATTGCAGTGATTTTTATAAGGCCTGTTTTTCTAGAATCTACACTGAGGATAACTTTTCTCAAAATAATGCTGAGTGAAAAATGCATATGTGACAATCCTCCTTTCACCAGCTTGAACAACTGGTGGTAAAACATAGAACCGTTTTTGTTGTACTTGTCCATTACAAATGTATTACAGCTTTTTCTTGGAAATGTTCAGTGTTTGTGGGTGAAAGGAGCCAAGAGGCGATGGCATTTAAAAAAAAAAAGAAAAAGTTTATCTGACTGATACAGATAAAAGATAAAAGCAGATCTTGTTTTTCAGATATTTTGGATGTGGACTTTGCAATGAGAGATGATGTTTGGGATGATATTGATGATGAGAAATTAGTATTTGCTAGCAACTTTGCCAGTAGAGAATTAGGTAAGGTTATTGTAACAAAATTCTTTGTTTCCTGTGTACAAATTATTTTACAGGCTATTGTTTGAGAATAATTTATTATAGTGTACAATGAATAGAAGTACCTGAAACTTTTTGGTTAACTGACTTGATCACCAGGTTTATTATTCTACCTTAAATGTCACCTATATTGAGACAAATCTAATACAGAAGGGAGAGTTGAAAAAGTCATAATTAAAACTTTTTTGATGGCCTGCAACTGCGTATTTGTTAATTTATCTGACTGTTTATCTCTGCTTATTGTTACATTAGCCCAAAACCCACAGAAGAAATATTTCAAGTATTAGGACATTTGAATAATTTTCAAACTATAATTTATTGTATTATGTAAAACATTTACAAGCATTTTCAGCTGTTTTGTGATTAAGTTTTAAAAACTTTCACTCTTTTATGGAACATGGAAATATCTGCCTTCAAATTCCAGATGAGTGTGAACCACTTTACCAATATACAAGAAGCAAAGCCACAAATGACATTTCAAAAGAGTAAGCATTATATAATTTATTACAGTTTTATTCCATTAAAGTTATTGTCTGTGTTTCACATGTATCTGTATAATTAAATATATAGAAGGTTGTTCACTCATAAAAGCGAGTGTAATTTCAACTTTTAAAAGGTACAAACTGTTGAATGACACCAATTTATTTTTTTTTTAAGTGTGGAGGGAAATAAATAGTAAATCCTGAACTGAAAAGTAAATCATTTTGCACTTCTGTAAAAATACGTAAATTATTCAACTTGATATTTTCAGTTCATGCACATTACAGGATGAGAGCAGTATTCAAAACTCAGTTATTCCTGTGGTTAATAGCACATTGAAAGTGAATTTATCTGTACAGAGCGGAAATATAAATATGGTGAGTAAAAATATTTTTATAACAGAATTTCCTATAATAAAGTATTTCATATGTAAATATATTGACCATATCTGGCTTATGAATCAGTTTGGACATACTGAATTTCTGAACCTTTCTGTGTTGTCCAAACACACATGCATCCTATGTTCAGTGTGATATTCATGACACAAAGCACTAGGATTTGAATTTACTTTACATAGCATGACTTCAGAACTATTTACTCAATTTGACTGTGATTCTGCAAGTCATCCAAGTATATAATTATATTTATTGTTTCAAGTACTGTAATGTCAATATAAATATCTATACTACATACTAATGACAGTCTGGCAGTTTCTCTTTTGGTTAGTTTTTTTTAACCATATGCACTTACTAACATTTACATTGCAGTTCAGTTTTCAAGAAAAAAAGCATTCAAATCCTTCACAAGAGCTGAAAAACATACAGTGTTCTTCGATCTCAAAAACAATCTCAGACTCTTCTAAATTCACTACAAAAGAGGACTTTTTTATTTTCACAAAAGAACAGGAAAAACAATTAGATCCCAGGTAATAAAAGTGTGTATGTTTTTCTGTTGCCTCAGTGTTCCAGTGCTTAAGTTCTTCATGGAACACAGACCTTTAGGCAATGTGTTAATTTATAACATTCATTTTTGAAAGTTCCATTTTCACAATAATACTAGCTATTAGCTTTTCTTGGAAAGGAAAAGACTTGAAAATTATTTTGCTTGTCTTGGTATCTCTTGACTGTACTTTGTATAGTGTTCCTGATTTTATAGGTTTTGATGTACTGTACCTAATTTAATTTTTTTGTTTGCTTAATCTTCATTAGATATCTTCTTGATGATGAAATCAATGATGTCAAGCCCTTTCTTGGAATATTTGATGGCATTTTGTAAAACATATAAACAAAATACATTGTAAGTGCTGGGGAAAAAAAGTTGCAGTCATTTTTACAGAATGAAGCCTTCAAATCCAGTTAGGAGAATTTGATTTCTGTTGTATGCCTATTTACCAATAGCTGGATTGCTGCATAGAGTAGATAATAATAAAATTGATGTCTAGTTTATGGAATTCTAGTTATATTACCTTATTTTGAAAAGTGCTTAAATATGTGTTTGTTGACCTTGCTGTTCTAAGGATTACAAAGGAAAATATTGGAATGTATCAAAGGAGACTAGTTCTAAAACTGAAAGTGCTTGTATAGATAAAGTAAAAATCACGTAAGGGAAAGTAAGCTGTTTATTACATGCCCTGCTCACAAGTATTCTTTAAATGAATGAGACACTCTCCTCAGAAATTTTTTTAATGCTTTTTGGTTTTGTTTTTCAGTTTCTCTAATGCTGAATTTTTCATAGCACTGATTCTGTACAATAATTAGATTTACAAGTAAAAGTAATAGAATGGTAAGTTATTCTAGACTATATTCCTTTTGACAGTGCTATCAACTTGTTAATAAAAAAATGTGACTTCCTTCAACCAAATGTGTTTCCAGGCTCTCAATAAACTAGTTGTAAAATATCTATAAACAATATTCTAAAGTTGTGTTTGGCTGTTTGCTTTGACACTGGAGGCCATAAAATGGACGTTTATGCGTCCCAGTACAGATTTAAGAACCAAGCATTGGATTTGTCTGTTTTCTTATAGCTCTAGTTTTTGAACAGTAGACCTTGCAAGTTCAATAGTTAGAAAAATACATTATATTGCCTAAAATCCAATAGAATGTTAATTTTCACTGTTAATTATTCAAAATGTGTGGAATGAAAAATGTTAAAATCACATATGGAACCTTAGCTGTCTGTTCTTGCAACATTGTTATGCAACCAAATGCAACGATGTTTTGCTGCAGTACCTGGTTGTATTTGTCTTAGCTAGTAACATTTTACTTGACTCCATTGTTTCCTTACACTTTTGACTGACTTTCTGCTATAACTCTTTCTCCATATCAAAGAATGTCCCAGCACAAGCAGCCTCAACACTCACCACTCAATACTTTTTTGACTGTTCAGATTCCAGCAGGCCAAGCTTATAACTCATTTTGCTGTACCTCAGATATTTCATTGCATCTGGAAGTTAGCAGTATGTCAGATCTATTTGGATCTCTCTTTTTTCTTTTTCTTTTTTTTTTTTTTTTTTAAATTAAAATTCCAAACTGAGGTAACTCAGAATTACTATACTACTTCTATATTTAGCCCGGCAGTCCTAGGCTAGTCCACATCCTAGTCACCTCCCATTTCTGTGTCAGGGTCAGATTTAACAATGCAGAGTGACAAATGTCAATTTAGGCACCCCGGAGAATCTTCCCTTGGCTCCATCTACCAGGCCAGAAGAGCACAGGTCTCCCACATTAAGATGTTCCAGGTCCTCTAGACATCTAAAATGGTACTTGATGCTGATGTTTAAGCACCCCTCTCCCTGCTGCATGAAATATACATTTTTTTTCCAATTTATAGTTCAACCTTACATAGCATTCTTTAATTACCTTTGTATCCTGCTTTTCCCTGGGGTTTTAGCTTGCAACAACTAATTGAGCTGTTCCTCAGTTTCTTCAAGTTGGACAAAAGCTTTTACACAGCAACACAAAGTTGAACTTCAAACATGGAAAATAGGAGAGGAAGGAGGCAATTAATATAATCTTGTGATTATATCATTTATATAATTTATATAATCTTGTGACTACACAGCTTGCAACTTTCCAAAACCTCACTCATCTGCTGGTTGCTCAGGCCTCACCTGCAAACTGGGCATGCTTCTGATGGCAGGTGCTGCACTTTCTCCTGCTAGTCTGCATGAAGCTCCTTCTGAAGGTTCTGAACTGTGAGGTAGCGACTGTAGTGGAAGTTGATTGTGCTCAGGTCTTCATAAAAATGAATAAGGTAAGCTTCTATTTATTTCTGTGTACTAAGGAAGTATCTTTTATATGTTTTTGGCCACATTTCTACACGAGTTGTATTTCCATTTTTCTGTGAAATATTTTGGTAGTTTATATAATGTCTAGAAAGCAATTGATATTATTACCATTTTTGCTTCATTTTTTCTTTAGATAGTCTAAATATAACCACTTGGTTTTAGTTAGTTTATAGGAGTAGGTTTACATTTAGACTACTACTTCAAAGAAAATTATCTTTGCAGGCAGGTATTTTATTTTCCTCTTTTCCCCAGTGCAGGAGTTCAGTAGTTATTATTTGGCTTCTTCAAGATTCAAGATGATTAATTTTCGGATACTGTATTCAAATTTTTTCCTTTTGATTTTTAAAAGGCTTTAATTTCCAATTTGATACATAGTCAGAATACATGATCACAAATGCATTTCAGTACTTTAAAGGCAATTCAGATTATTTTGCAGATGTTTTGTAAGATCATTTCCTGTCTCTCCTCTCTCCTGTTTTTCGCAAGAAATCAGCATCCTGTATCATCCTTGGAAAGTTACAAATTTGTGCTATTGCTGCTAACATTTCACAGATTTCAGAATATAAATCTTGCAATACTGCAATGTCTTTATAGTAATATGGAACCTCTGATGCAAAAACATTTTTCTAGAGATAAGTGCTTTATTTGGCATTGCAGTTTTGCCTCATTATTCTTATTAGCTCTATGACTCTTTAAAGTCTAAATCACTTTCAGAAAATCAGTTTGGAAGTACTTATACGCTGAAGTGTTCTCTATCTCAGGAAAAGGAATGACTTTTCATATGGTAGTGTTTGTTATTGTTCCATTTTTCAAATCATAATAATTGAAAGATCAAAAGTGATAACCTACAAAAGTAGGTCTCTATAGGAATAACAAATTGCAGATACACAGTGACTATACCTCAAAACAAATACAGGCAGAAAAAGTGAATTGACTGCAGAATTAGAAAAACCTAGTAAAATCTGAATTATTGTTTTAAATTAAACTTCCAAACTGAGGTAACTCAGAATTACTAAATTGCTGCTCTGTTTAGCCCAGCAGTCCTCATCATGTACATCCCCGTTCCTTGTCATGGTAAGATTTAAAAATGCAAAGTTTACCTCCTGCCCACCACGATCTTCTGATTTCCGTGGAAATCAGATGGCTCCCAGGCAGGAACAGTGGTGTTTCTCCACAGATGCCTTAACGAATGACCAGAGGACCAAAATCCCAGGTCATGCCCCAAAAGATAAGTATAGACATCGCTACAAAGAGCTGTCTGATTTTAGTCATTTAACTGAGTCCCCTTAAATGATAAACCTAGTTTAACTGGATGTGCTGTGTAGTCACTCAGAAGAAGTCAGAAGATGATTCAGATTGTAAGTGCGCTGAATTGCTCTCCGGTGGAACTCACCAAATTACCTATGATGGAAGTGACCACATACAGGTAGCATGGAGAAGCTGGGGTGCTGTAAATTCACAGCCAGGCTGACTGAATATTGCCTTTCTTGTGCACATGAGACACCTGGGTTCTTTTATCCACGTTAGGATCCAGCTTTTCTAAGTTGAATAGTCTTATTTCTGTACAGCAAAAGATGTCTATGCTACACTAATGTTGCTGCATGCAGCTTCCTTTCAGAAACAGACTAATTAAATTCAACAGGATAACATCAGACAAATTCACTAAGCTGCTACCAATAGAAAAAATACAGATGAAAATACATAAACACATTGTTAAAGTCTGAAAGGATCCTTGTTTTTAATTCTGCATAGAGTTGTACCATTAAATGAGTGGCTTGAATTTGAATCAGTGGGATTGTGTAAGTAATTCTTTGGGGATACAGCAGAATGCCACAGACTTCAGTCTGGGGATGATTCTGTAAAATTTACATTCTAAAAATACTGTTTCCCATAATGGAGTAGTAGAAGAAAATTCAATGTGACAAGAAGTCAGATTTTACTATCTTACTTGTCTGTTTCTCCATAATAAAATACATGCTCATACCTGCTTTTAATTTAACTTCAACTTCCTTATATGCTTCCTTGTCCTATCACATATATTGATTTCAAAATATAAACTGAGGTCAACCATATCTATGCCTGAAGAAAATGCAATATGCACTCAAAAACCTTGATCTTCAAAAAATGTTAGCAAAGAAATAAGTATAGTGTTTAAACATGTTGCCAGACATGGTTGTGCATAAGGTATGTTTATAGCATATAGAATACTGTAAATGCATTGTGACATCATTTTAATTGTATGCAGCATGTCTCATGATCATTTTAATTATGTAGACTTTATTCATGTATTGGAAGACTTTAATGGGTTAAACATTACAGTAGTTGTTAAAATAATAACGGCAGTTGTGACAAGTCAGACTCTTGTTATTTGAGTGTATTTTTATTCAGATGTACCTTCACAGAATAGGTACATGAGGTATAAAAGTTGGTGCTCTTAAAGGCAGACAGCATAATGATAGAGTGAACAGAAATCACCATATGGAATCAAATATGCACCTGAAAAATAGTTAAAATCAGTCATTTTCTAGAGCACAAATGATACCTCTCTAAGGCATCATTATGACAGAATCAGTGGTATCTCTTCTAAAAGAAAGGGTATCTTGTGTTACCTCCGTATGTCACCCCTTCTGCTTTTTATGTAGAAGCAAGAGAGCAGTATCAGGTCAAGTGTTTTACTGACAGAATCTTTAAATTGTATCTGTGAAATGAGATCCATGAATGGCTGTTTTGGGTTTGTTGGGTTTTTGTTGTGGGGTGTTTGTTTGTCTTTGTTTTTTTCCTAGCTTTGCTTCACAAGGAAATAGAAAAGGAGGTACTAGTCACAGTAAAATTCACTTCCTGCAGAGGACTAACAGCACATTGAATTTATTGAAGGCTTACATGAGAATAAACTGAGGCACGTGCAGTGTGCTGATAGTTTGCAGTGATGAAATTCAGCTTGACTGAAAAAAATCAGAAAAAGGGCAGTGGTTCATTGGCTGCCACTGTT